TAAGTAATTTTGGCTGGGAAGTGAGAAAGTGTTAGTTCACTTGTACCAAAGGCTGATATTGTACCAAAATAGACACTGATCTACAGAGTCCTGTTACCTACACTCATGGCCCTCCATCAATTTCTGTACCTTCTAGCATTTCCCAGAGACATCAAGTTCAAGGCCAGCCTGAGCTATACAAGACCTTGTCTCAAAATGCAAAACAAACATTGCGCTATACAATAACTTCTCAATATGGAGTCACTGAACAAAATGTGGAAAGGTCATGAAAAAATTGTCAACAGTAATGAATTCTGAACACAAAACAAACCAAATGTTTTCGAAATTAAATACATAATGAATCTGAGCTGTTTCTGGCAGGGCTCACCCATGTTACATCACTCTAGCATTGGTTCTGAACATATAGCTTATGCACTTTTTACTGTGTGTACCTTAGCACCATGCAACATCAAAGATCACCATCCGAAACACCTCAGCTCAGATTTAAAACTGCTCTATGTTATAAATTAAAGTGTTTTCACTATATCGACAAAATGTTCTGCTCCTACAGAAACAAAATAGTTTAATTATGAAAAACAAGGACTTTTAATATCTTCCTGTGACCATTCTTCAGCAGATATCAAATTGTGTATACAAACCAAATATTTCCTGGTAACAGATAATAAAGAAATATACGTCTAAATAATTCTTTGGCATCTGTATCATTTTACTATATTAAAGACGAAAACAATTTACCTACCAATGCAATTGATGTGCTTATTTATTTTCATATGAAGAATGAATCTTCCTGTAAGATATATAGCTTCTTGATTATGAGTGAGAACCTATATACACTTTGCCAGCTCAGTGCTGGGACCCTGTCTGACTTGAACCTGTGTAGGTCTTGTGCATGCTGCCATAGTCTCCATGAGTTCATATATGTGTCAGTCTTGTTGTATGTGGAAGATACTATTTCTTTGGAGTCAGTCATCACCTCTGGCTCTTACAGTCTTTCCACCTCCTCTTCCACATAGATCCCTGAGCCCCGAGGGGAAGAGTTTGATGAAAACATCCCATTTAGGACTGAGTTCTTCAAAGTCTCTCATTCTACACATTGTCTGGTTGTGGGTCTCTGTGTTAGTTCCCATCTATTGCAAGAAGCAGCTTCTCTGATGGTGGCTGAGTGAGACACTGCTCTATGGGTATAGCAGATGTCATTAAGAGTCATTATTGCTATGTTCCTTTAGCAGAACAATAGTATTTTACTTTCCCCTAGGATCATAACCTGTCCAGGTTCAGGTCCTTGCCCACTTAGCAGTATCAGGTACAGGTTCCATCTCATGGAGTAGGCCTTAAATCCAATCAAAAAGTGGTTGGTTACTCCCATAACATTTCTGCCAATATTACACCAGTATATCTTACAGGTAGGTTGGGCTACAGTCACAGGGTTTGTAGCTGGGTGATATTGATGATTACCTTTCTCCTCTAGTAGTGTGCAGAATACCTTCCAGTACCATGAATGATATTCAGCACAGTGAAGCTTCTTATTAGGAACCAGCTCAACTTCTTCGTGCTTGATGACATATGTAAGCACTGTCTTCAGCAATAGGGCCTTACAATCAGGTTGTAGAGAATCAAATATAGCCTTGGTAGTAGCCTGTGGTGTTTGGGGGGTTCCATGGGAACCCTTTAGACAATGACTCAACAAGGTGTAATCAATTCCTTGCACTGGAGATTTTACTTGGTGACATAAGATGTTTAGTTGAGACATTCTCTCCCATATTATTTGGTGACTCTATTTAGATCCCTTTCATGTATGTGTATAATTTAGGAAGCTGCTACAGTAATGGGTTTCCATATGATTTTCCAAAGAGCCTTTAGTGTTAGTTGTCCCTCCCTAGTTCCCCTCCTTTACCCTGCTCTCCCATCCCACACCCTATTTAATTAATCTTCCTCTTCTTGTTTCTCCCTTGTCTCTCCATATCACTATCTTCTATTTCCCCTTTCTTGAGAGAGCCTCTCCTCCTCTTTGGTCCCTTACTTGTGGTTATTTGGACTGTAGTCCACACATCAAAAGCTTAAAAGATAACATCTACATAGAAGAGAAAACATATACCATTTGTCTTTTGGAGTCTGGGTTTCCTCACTCAGAATGATTCTTTTCTAGTTCCACCCACTTACCTTAAATTTCTTTTTTTTTTTTTTTTTTTTGGTTTTTCGAGACAGGGTTTCTCTGTGTAGCTTTGCGCCTTTCCTGGATCTCACTCTGTAGACCAGGCTGGCCTCGAACTCACAGAGATCCGCCTGGCTCTGCCTCCCGAGTGCTGGGATTAAAGGCGTGCGCCACCACCGCCCGGCTCAAATTTCTTTTTTTAAAGCTCAGTAATATTCCATTGTGTGAATGTACCAAATTTTAATTATCCATTCATCAGTTGATGGACATCTAAGTTGTTTGCTATTTCTGGCTACTGTGAACAGAGCAGCAATGAACATGGATGAAAAAGTATCTCTGAGGTTGGATGTAGAGTTCTTCAGGTATATGCCCAAAAATAGTAAAGCTGATTCTTGAAGTAGATCAATTCCCAGCTTCCAGAGGAACCACCATACAGATATCCATATTGGGTGTACAAGTTGGTCCTCCCACCAGCAATGAATGGGCTTTCCATTTGTTTTATTGATCTTGTCCATTCTGACTGCTGTAAGATGGAATCTCAGAGTAATTTTGATTTACATGTCCCTGATGACTAAGGATGTTGAACACTTCCTTAAGTGTTTCTCAGCCATTTGTGTTTCATCTTTTGAGAACTCTCTCCTTAGTTCAGTACTCCATTTTAACTGGTTATTTGTTTTCTTGATGTTTCTTCTTTTTTTTTTTTTAGTTCTTCATAGAATTCTTTGTAGAATACGAGATACCAGCCCTCTATCATATGTACAATTGGTAAAGAGCTTTCCCCATTCTGTAGACTGCTGCTTTGCTGGAATGATGGTGTTCTTTGTGTACAGATTTTCAGGTTCGTGAGGTCCCATTTATTAATTGTTGTAGATGAAGGATTTGTGTCATAGACCTTTTGTATCTAAGAAATGTACCTTTCTCAGATTAGTTTTTTAAATGTTTAAAACAGTGTATACAGAATAATAAGTCTAATTATTGTACTGAAATTGTCATCAACATATTAAAATGAATGTGACATGATTGATGCAGTTTTTTGTTTTGTTTTGTTTTGTTTGTTGTTGTTGTTTTGTTTTTCGAGACAGGGTTTCTCCGTGTAGCTTTGTGCCTTTCCTGGAACTCACTCTGTAGCCCAGGCAGGCCTCAAACTCACAGAGATCCACCTGCCTCTGCCTCCTGAGTGCTGGGATTAAAGGCATGCACCACCACTGCCTGGCTGATGCATTTTTTATTACATTAAAAAACAAGATGTATCCACAGACCCCCCTTTCCCAAGCCACCCCACATCCCCACATCCCCCAAATCGAGGTCTCCCATGGGGAGTCAGCAGAGCCCAGCTCACTGAGCCTAGGCAGGTCCAAGCCCCTTCCCAATGCACCAAGGCTGTGCAAGGTGTCACACCACAGGCACCTGATTTCCAGAAGCCTGCCCATGCACCAGGGACAGATCCCAATCCCCCTGCCTGGGTGCCCCCCAAACAGTGTGAATAGCATGAGGAGTGAGTAGAAAATTTCTTAATAAAGAAAAAAAAAACAAGATGTAGGAATGTGGTGGTTTGAATAGGAATAGGCCCCATAGACTCATGTGTTTGAATGCTTGGCCCATAGGGAGTGGCACTATTAGGAGATGTGGCTTTGTTAGGATAGGTGTGGCCTTGTGGGTGGAAGTGTGTCACTGTGGAGGTGGGCTTTGAGGTCTCATATATGCTTAAGCTATGCCCAGTGTGGTACACAGTCTCCTGCTGCCTGTGGATCAAGATGCAGGACTCTCAGCTCCAGCACCATGTCTGCCTGCACACTGCCCTGCTTCCTGCCATGACGATAATGGACTAAACCTCTGAAACTGTTAGCCAGCCCCAATTAAGTGTTTTCCTTTATAAGAGTTGCCATGGTCATGGTGTCTCTTCACAGCAATAGAAATCCAACCTAAGACAAGGGATATTTTCATTAAGTGTCATAATTCCCAAGTAATAAACACAAATATTTCAATAACTGCACCAATTACAGTATAACTGAAACAGTCATAACTGAAACAACCAATAGCAATGAATTTAGAGATCAATGCCTAGCTTTACTGAGGCCCACTGCCTAGGTTCATAACTAAAATGAATACTAAGTTTCAGCTAGAGGGCAATGAAAAATCGAACTAAGTCCTTAAAACCCTGGATTAACCTCAGGTTAAGAAGCTGCAATGTGAACCAGTAGGCATCGTGCCAGTCTTACAAACTATTAACTAGATTGTACAAACACTCACATACACATGATGGAAAAGACAAGTCACTTGTACATTCACTCACACATACTCATAATAGACAATACAATCTGTACTGACACTCACAAAGTTGAACCATGACTGGTGACTTGGTTCCCACAAAGCCTTCAGGGCCCTTGCCTCTTTGGGAGTAGTAATTCATCTCATGGTCCTTGGGAAAAAGTCAGACACTATAGACAGATGCCAAGAATCTCCTTTAAAAGTACACATAAATTATTTGGAGGAAAACTTTGCACTGTAAAAGCCCCCAAATTTGCAACATGTAAATTTAGGAATAGGAAATATCTTGGCAACACTGTGAACTGTGTGGTTCCAGAGATGTTAATTGCAACTGGCACTTCCAAAGCTGGTGTGAGGTGTGCATTCCTCCATCCGAAGAGCTGTTCCTGACCGCTTTCTTCCTGACCAGATCACTAGGAAAAGAAGAAAAAACTTTGATTTTGCATCTTAGTGCTTTACTGGGATCTTTTCATTAATAATAATAATAAAAAACCTTTTGTCAGTGAGCAAGTATAGCCTAGATTGAATGAATCTGAGACTTTATAGCCTTGTCCCACTTCCAGTTCTCTCTCTGCTTCAGACTTGTGGTTGAAAATGTGATTTTTCACCTTCCTGCTCTGGATGCCTGCTGCTGTTCTTCTTCCATCATTGTGGACTCTCTTTCAGAAACAGTAAGCTAAAACAAACTCTTTCTTTCATAAATTTCCCTTGGTCATTTTATTTTATCACAGCAACACAATGTAACTCATATGATGTGATATCACAATATGAAATAATGAAAAAATATAAAACGAAATAGAAACATAATAGATGCATATACAAAAGAAGACGATGTATCGAATCTGAATCTTTTTGCCTATGGATGCAGCCCAAGTGTGATCTAGCTTAGCTCTGCTATGTCCTAGCTGGATTTCTGTCAGCACTTGTAATACTTTGCTTAAAGGCTATTTCAGGCTGCTATAAGTTCTCTCTGACTGTGCACACTGCAGGCTAGAAGTGATAGAGAATTAAAGACTCCTGGAAGGAATCATCAACTAATAAATTGCAAGAATTAGTAGATAAATATTCTATGTCCCCTGTTCTTTGTATGGGATCACTCTGAGTTATCTGTTTTATCTCTATAACAAGACTAACAAGATTATCTTAGTCTTGTTAGTTTCTCTATTTGGGTTCCCTTGAGAACAAGTGATAGTTAATTCTGTCAACTTGATTGTGTTAATAAATGCCTAGGGCATTAAATGAGGCATACCTTTGGGTGTGCCTCTGAGGAATTTCTAGAGAGAAAGAACTGAGGAGAAAAGACCTATACTCGCGACGAGTGGCACCATCACATGAGCTGAGATCCCAGACTGAAAGAAAAGGGAAAGAGGAGACAGCCAGCTAAGTCCTTACCCTCTGAGATACGAACAAGCTGCCTTCCAACACCACAGATAGGCAATTGGCCCACGGCTATACCTTCCCTCTCATTATGGACTGTAGCTCATGAACTGTGATCCAAAATTGAACCCTTCTTCCCTTCTGTTATTTATTTGTTGGCGTTATTTACCGGGCGCTAGAAAACACGAATTTCAACAGAACCCACTATAAGAGTTTTTATTAGGGAAGAGAAAAGATGCGGGGGGAGAGGTGCGCACTACCTCTGCTGAGCGGGAGAGAGAGCAGTGAGCGGGTACAGCCCGCCTTTTATAGGTCACCTCGCGCATGCGTATAAGGGCTTATGTAGCTATGCCACACATGCGCATAGATTACGTGACCACACTGCACACAGGGATTATGTAGGACATAAGGCCCTGGAGTGACTAAGCATTTTGCCTGATGGCTGACAGCACATGTGCAGTCATGTGACTCCAGAAGTGGCTAGGAATAATAACACCTTCAGATGCTTTTTTGTCTGGTATCTGCAACAGTGAGAAAAATAACTTATAGGACACCCCTGATTGGCACTTGCCAACGCCCCTAGTGGATTGCCTCCCAAAGAAAGGCTTGTACTTTAAGTCTCACCCTATATGTTCATTAGAAAGAAAGACAGTGTAAATGAACAAATGTGAATGGGACAGTTAAGATTTAGAAGTGGCCATGGAAAAAAATTTAAACACACACACACACACACACACACACAACACACACACAGCCAGAAAGACACAAAATATGTGGCCAGATGAAACAAAACAGATTCTCTCTCTCTCTCTCTCTCTCTCTCTCTCTCTCTCTCTCTCTCTCTCTCTCTCTCTCTCTCTCTCTCTCTCTCATCTATCTATTTTCTGGTTTTTCAAGACAGGGTTTCTCTGTGTAGCCCTGGCTGTCCTAGAACTCACTTTGTAGACTAGGCTGGCCTCAAACTCACAGAGATCCACCTGTCTCTGCCTCCCGAAAGCTGAGATTAAAGGCGTGTACCACCACTGCCTGGCTTAATAAAAGATCAGCACTCGGGAGGCAGAGCCAGGCGGATCTCTGTGAGTTCGAGGCCAGCCTGGGCTACCAAGTGAGTTCCAGGAAAGGTGCAAAGCTACACAGAGAAACCCTGTCTCGAAAAACCAAAAAAAAAAAAAAAAAAAGATCTCTTAAAGCAGAGGTTTTGGCTTTTAACTGCACATTGACTTTACCTGCAATTAATAAAAAGCAAAGCAACTATACTCATGCCTTATGCTGAAATTTTGGTATAATTGGTCTAGGTGAAGTTTAGGAGTATTTTCTGTTTCGTAAAAAGTCTCTCATGTGATGCAAACATGCAGTTAGACCAAGAACCACTGCGCTGAACAAAAACAATGTTCAGGAGGTGCCAAGGACACAATGACTTGAAATACAGAGTCTATCTCCTGCCTCTCCTGCCCTCCTAACCCCCACATTGTGCTGTCCTGTATTTGGTATTATTACGAGTGGCTCCAAATGAATGGGGAATGGGGGAGACAGAAAAATAAAATTAGCTGAATATTGAATAAATGTCCACATTATACTTGAAAGCTTTGGAATTGGATTTGGCATGCTGATTATGGCCTGAGGGGGATCTGGGTTTTTTCCCCCTGATTCAAAACAACAATTTTTTAAAATAAGCATTTGATTTATAGGCTCTGCCAGATGAATGAACAACTGTGCCTAAAAGAGAACATATGGCTAGGCTTTGGTTTTCTGTTAACCTCACTGGGGACAAATCCAATAGGCAAGATGACTCTTATTCATGGTCTCTATTGTCCTGATTTGCAGTGGGAATTTAATTTCTGATTTGATTTTGAATAAGCTTTTCAGGAAAACAATGACAGTGATCAATGTTTGTTAAGAATGGGTTGGCAGGGAGTCCCAGGATGGGACTATACCGAGGATCAGCTATAAGGATCATCCCTGAGTGAGCCAAGGGGACTTATTTCAATGAATAGAAATAGAAATAAACATTGTGACACAATGCAAGTACCCCCAGTTTTATCCTCATCAAAGAGGAAAAATATTTGTGGCACATCAGTAAACTACAATAGACACACAGAGAGAGAGAGAGAGAGAGAGAGAGAGAGAGAGAGAGAGAGAGAGAGAGAGAGAGAGAGAGAGAGAGAGAAAATCTGTATCAAATATGCAACCAGACAAAAATCATTAACTTCCATGCTTATTTTTCATTTGTTTTATTAAAATACCATTTTAAAGACAATTGATGGATGATGATATGGAGCAGTGGGTAGAACTGGACTTAGAAATCATTCTTGAATAAGGACCTCAGGTCACAAGGTGTTCTGATACACTCTTCATTGGGTTGTTGGTAGTGCTAAATGAGATAGCAGACTATAGAGCAGATGCCTAAGGCAGTTATTCACTAGACTTTTTAGAGAAAATTGTTAGTTAGACTTAAGATAATTTGGATTTTTAAAAATTCCTTCTGGAGTCATGGCTAGGCCCCGGGTGGATCTCTGGGAGTCCAATTAGCGAGAATGAGGAGGGTTTATATGAGCAAGAATTGTTGAGACCAAGGTTGGATAAAGCACAGGGACAAAAAACCAAACGAATGGAAACACATGAACTATGAACCAATGGCTGAGGGGCCCCCAACTGTATCAGGCCCTCTGAATGGGTGAGACAGTTGATTTTCTTGATCTGTTTGGGAGGCATCCAGGCAGTGGGACTGGGTCCTGTGCTCATTGCATGAGTTGGCTATTTGAAACCTGGGGCCTATGCAGGATCGCTTGGCTCGGCCTGGGAGGAGGGGACTGGACCTACCTGGACTGAGTCTACCAGGTTGATCTCAGTCCTCGGGGGAGGCTTTGCCCTGGAGGAGGTGGGAATGGGGGGGTGGGCTGGGAGGAAGGTGAGGGGGGCCGGAGAGGGGAGAACAAGGGAATCCGTGGCTGATATGTAGAACTGAATTGTATTGCAAAATAAAAATAAAAAATTTTAAAAAAAGAAAAAGAATATCCTAAATTCATAAAACTTGAATATAAATAAATGGGAAACAAAAAAAATCCTTCTGAAAGAACTTGATATTTTATTGTTTTTAAAATCATGGATCTATGTTCTAAGTGCTTTTTTTTTTTCCCCAGAGCTGAGGACCAAACCCAGGGCCTTAGCGCTTGCTAGGCAAGCGCTCTACCACTGAGCTAAATCCCCAACCCATATGTTCTAAGTGCTTTTTAAAAGCAGTTCACATTTTGGGGTTGGAGAGATAGCTCAAAGGTTAAGAGAATGTGCTGTAGCAGAAGCTCCAACATTGTTTCCCAGCACCCACAGCAGATGGCTCACAACTGCCTGTAATGGCAATTCCAGGGGATCCAGTGCTCTCTTCTGGACTCCACAGGCACCTGCACATATGTGCACACCCACACATACACACATACACATGCACGTAAGTAAAAGTAAAATAAATATTCTATTTTCAGATTTTGTTTGATACTTTTTCTAAAGTGGAAATATTTTACTTCTAAAATTGTGAGTTTATGCCATATAAAACAAATTTTTGAGTAAACCTACTCCCTTCCATATTTTTCTGTGACACGCATAACTCTATTTTTCTTTTATTAATATTTTAGCACACAAAATAAATCATAGATATTTTTATTTTATGTGTTTGGGTGTTGCTTGCATGTATGACTGTACACCACATGCATGCCTGGTACCCACAGAGGCCAGAAGAGGGTGATGGACTCCCTGGGACTGGAGTTAGAAATAATTGTGAGCTGCCAAGTAGTTTCTTGGAATTGAACTGGGATCCTCTGGCTCTAGGGCCTTTAATCACAAAAAATGCATACTCTTAAAATGGACTAATGGGCTTAAGAGTCACATACATTTACTTCATTATTTTAACTTGGCCTTGTAGTGAGTTTTCAGCCCCATTGATTCTGGCTGCTATATAAGGAGATCCTCCATTGTCTGGATGGTTTAAGAGCATAATTCACTGGTGAGTACCTCTAATCTTTCCTTTATTGGCTATAGGGATCATGCCAAGTATTAATGCTGCATTTTGTTTCGTTGTTGTGGGTTCAAAACCAGTTCTGTACTTCCCACTACTGAAGGCAGATTTTGGTAGACTTTGAAAAACTTGTTTTACTTGAGGCGCTACATGCTTCATGGCCTGTAAAACATAGCAACCTGCAAATCCGGCCTCATCAATAGTCAATCCAACAGCCACCACTGTGCTGGCCATGACTTTACTCCATGGCCTTGCACAGCATACTCATTCCAACCTGAGCCCACTGCCCCCACATGCCAGTTGA